GATTCTATATTTGTATAAAACAATTTTATCCATTTACGTATAGATGGACCAAAGTTAAAGAACTCTAAGACTTGGTGCATGAAATCCCATGACACAGTGTCGAAAGCAGCAGCAAAGTCAATAAGGAGAAGTAAACCAGGGATATTATTCTTCTCCGTATAAAATAAAATGTCATATAACATTCTAATATTAGATGCCATTAATCGGCCAGGTAAAAATCCTGTTTGGTCTTCATTAATAACATTTGCTAAAATATTTTTTAAACGAAATGCAACTGAGGCAAAAGCGATTTTATATGCCACATTCAAAAGTGAAATAGGCCTCCAATTTTTCAAATAAAGTTTATCTTTATTTCCCTTAGGTATGCAAGTTATGACCCCTTGTTTTTGTGTAACTGATAATTCTCCTTTTGCATAGGCATAATTTATAGATCTTACCAAGAAAACCCCTATGTCTTTCCAAAAAAACTTAAAGAATTCTACTGTAAAGCCGTCATTTCCAGGGCTTGTATTATTTGACATTCTCTTTAGAGAGTTTAACATTTCATTGTATGTCAGAGTTCCCTCAATGGACTGCTTGATTGTTTCTGAGAGTTTTGTATATCAAAATGATCCAAAGTATTATTTAGAGATATAGTTTCTGTCTCTTTTAACTTATACAAGTTTTCGTAGTGATGTTTTGTCTCTAAAAGAATTTCATTTTGTGATTTTAAATGTTGACCTTTATCTGAAATAAGTGAGTTCATAAGTTTAGAAACATAGTTTCTGTTTTCTAGATTACAGAAATACCGTGTGGGCTTTTCTCCTTCATGTAGCCATTTTGCTTTAGATCTAATAAAAATACCATTCATTTTTTTCTTTCTTAATTCTGAGAGTTCTCTTTTTTTATTTTCTAGATGTTGGAAATTCATGTTTGTATCTTTTTCAATCTTTTCAATTTCTTTCAAAATGTTTTCTTCCTTATTTGCCTCTAGTTTTTTCTTACTTGAAGCATGGCTTATTGTTACACCTCTAATGTTTAATAAGAGAGTTTCAAAAAATAACTGATCATTTATATTGAAAAGCAAGTCTTGTGATGGAATATTATCTACCTCATGTATATTGTCTGGTTGGTCAGCTATATACTGTAACTTTGTATCATTGATAGTCTTTTTTACCTTATCTATATAAACTTCATCCCTAAGTAAACAATTATTAAACTTCCAATATGCCAAACCTTTTTTAAATTTACCAAATTCTAAAGATATGAATATACGAGAATGATCAGTATGATATCCAGGTAAAATAACAGTACTATCAATATCAGTATACAAATTGTTCGAAATAAGAAATAAATCTAGGCGTGCCTTTTTGATAGGATTTTTCCTAAACCATGTATATTCTCTTTTTTCAATATTATTCTCTCGCCAGCAATCCATCAAGTTATACTCTGACATTAAATTAATGACCTTGTCTCTGGCATTCGGATTATTTAAGTGTAGATAATTATAACTATCTTTGTCTGGATCAAGTACTAAGTTAAAATCCCCTGCCAAAATAAATAAAGAGTCCTCAAATTTGGACATTTTTTCAAAAACCTTTTCATAAAAATTTGGATTGTCTCTATTTGGTCCATAAATGTTTACAAGTGTAATATCTTTCTCACATATATTGCAATTCAAGATCAAAAGGTTACCATCATCATCCTTTTCCATGTTCTTTACTTTGCACTCAAAATTGTTATTTATAAAAATTGCAACCCCACGTGACTGGCTACTAAAATTAGAAAAATATGTATCATAGCCCCAAATAGAGCGTATGTACTTTTCATCTTTAGTAATAAAATGAGTATCTTGTAAGAAACATATCGAATATTTTTTACTCTTCAAAAAATTTATAACATCTCTTCGCTTGCTTCTGTCACCCAAACCCTGCGCATTCATGGAGACTATAGAAACTTTACTAGTCATAATTAAATATCAAAGTACCAGATTGACTTGAAAGACATGTGAAGATTAAACAAAATCTCGAAAAAGATTGGTTATATAAAAAGTTTCTAGAATTATATTGGTGCACATTTATCATTAAGGAGCAAATTTCACCATGCATTGTAGGGAAGCCATCCACCAGAACTTTGCCGAGACTGTTCATTAAGCTTGGATTAAACATATATGGTTGAAAGGAGCTTGGGAATTTGTTTAGGTGAGATCTGCACTTTACTTTATTGCAGTTCTGTTAAACAAAAAACACAGGCATTTACATGTACATAAAGATACCAAATGGAAAGGCGAAAAATAAAAAAAAAACCTATTTTATCGAAGATATTGTATTAAAAAATATATATATATTTATATATGTGATAATCCCTGGAAGTAAAGTATACAATGTATAAAATGTTCTAGATTTTTAAAATAAATTAAATAAACTTTTCCATTATTTATATTAAAGAAAATCATACTGTTTGTCCTGTGCCTCCATTTTTTGGTAACTTTTGGAAATTCTATACAAAATGTTACTTTTTGGAAGTTCTGCACAAATGTTCTTTTCTTTGTTTCTGAAAAGTAAATTAACCAGACCACAAAGAACCGGGTTCAGAAAAAATAAAACTAAATAAAGAGTATTTGATTACCAAGCTATATACTGTAAATGGTTAGTCAAACACTACTTTTCCACATTTACAAAAACATAATATCAAAATAAGAAAAATGGAAAGAAGTAAAATGAATAGAAAAAAGAATACGCTAAAAAAAATTGACTCACTGACAGCCATTAATTAGATCTAGATCTAGTTGCGAAAATACATTACACTATATTTCAAAGTGTTCAAGTTGAACTTCAATTAACAACTATATTAGTTATCTTATACGCTGTAACATTGGCGAAACCCTATTCAATGTTCGAATATATTTACCTACCGTTATAGCTCATAATCATCTCATTTGTGAGTTCTCAATATTCATAATATGGGGGCAGCCATTTTCAGTAAAATCTGTGTAAACAAACGCTTACGTTGCGCAGTGCGCATGGTCATATGAAGTAGGCAGAGCAATTCTGATATTGACCATTCGTAATGTAAATAAATTTAACCGTAGGGTGGCGCAATAACAAAAATAAACAAACCCACGTGTTTTAAGCACGTGGTGTAAACAAGGGTAAGATAAGCAATGGGAAGATTACAAAACATTCTAAACATTATCCTATGCTTGATACAGATAGTAACTAAATCTGTTGGTTTTTAAAGAAATATAAACCTTTGTTTAGAGTCAATATATCTTTTTAAATAAAAGTTCGGTTTAGATGAAACGTTCGAGTTTACGGTGATATTTAAAGTTGTGTGTTCATTGATGTTTCTGTCGTAGAGAAGGGGGTCTCCACCGGTTCCACTGACACTTTATCCAAATCACTTAACTGCGAGACCACATACTTATTGTTATTCGTCAACAAAGCAATGATCTTGCCTTCATCACTCCATGCAACTTTGACTTTGGAGTGAGAGGCCACGTTTTCCAAGAGTTTGGCGTTGATGTTGGTAAGGTCCTCTCGAATTACGTAATGTGTACCTTTCAGTTTACGTCGAGATCTGATGATGTCATGTTTAGCAAAACTTCCGACCTAACGTAAAGTGGTTAAATTTAAGACCTAAATTTAGACAAACACAGGAATGAGAAAATAATATATAAGACAAACACTTTGCTGATAGATATGAAGTGAAAAAGAAATGACACGATTGATTAGAATTTCAATCACAGTTTTGTGTTCAGTTTAGACACAGACTTAAGCACAATATTTTGCCCGATCACTAACGTATTGTTAAGATCAACTACATTGATAATTTTACTAATGGTTTATTATAACTTAAAATGACAAATAATCTTGATTCTGATATTGTGCAATATTTTGCACAATGATAGTTTAAAATTGTCATCAAATTATATTTCGTGTAAGGAACCAGCGTGATGATGAAATCAGGAATGGTGAACTTGAAATCCGCAACAAAATCATTGAAGGCCCACTGTGTCCTAGAAATGCTTTTATTTTTATATCTCAAATACGATGTCCTGTTATAGTTTTCAAAATTTACTCATTGAAACTATCTGAACTGTTGCCTTTTGGCAATTAGAACAGTTATAGTGATTTAGAATTTTGAATGGAAGTAAAAGCACTTCGATTCTTTGTTTACATTTGCTACTTTTATGACATTTTATGTCACTTTCAATGCTACTTTCATCAGGTGGAGGCGTCCGTGGCCGAGTAGTTAAGGTCGTTGACTTCAAACCACTTGCCTCGCTTTGGGTTCGAATCACAACAGAAACTTTTGGATTCTTTCATACGATATTTTGCACAATGATAGTAAATAATTGTCATCAAATTATATTTCGTGTAAGGAACCAGCGTGATGATGAAATCAGGAATGGTGAACTTGAAATCCGCAACAAAATCATAATCATTGAAGGCCCACTGTGTCCTAGAAATGCTTTTATTTTTATATCTCAAATACTATTTTTATTTTCGATGTCCTGTTATAGTTTTGAAGTTGTGATGCATTGTGTTCTTAAACACAGAAATATATACACCGTTTTGTTGCTAGGAGACAAAATATACAATGATATGCATTTTGTCATTTTGACAGAAAAACATTTGATACATTATTCTTATTCACCTATAGGAAAGGCATAAAAGTTCAAAACCAACATTGTTTTACTTGTGTCTTTCACGAGCACATGAACTTATAGAAATGTAGAATATAAAGCTAAGCACATCTGCAAATTTTATTTCTCGGAGCCAGTGATAGTGTTACAAGCATTGGTTCTATGGACGAATTAACCAATAATGTTGGAAAATAACATAGCATTTGCAGCGTCAATTAACACTGAATACCTATCAAAGAAGTAAAATAGCTTACAGTAATCTAAGCCTTTTACAAACTGTTTAAAGGAATTCGGTCTGACACTCATAGAGATAGATAGACAGAGAGTCAGTGAAGATTAACACCAGAGATGTAGAAATACTGAAAAGGACAGAGACATCTAGCAAGATTTATACATCAAATAATACTGATTTAATATTTCATAATATATGTACATTTTTTTTGTATAATATGTGTAAAAAGTTCTTTCCTTTGTCCCGTTTAGTAGGTCATGTTTTGGTTAAGTTTATAATATAACTTGATACAGTATCGATCCCACATATCTTACCAAAAATGTACTTTAATTCGCGACATTTCAAAACAATGTTTGAGTATTGATATAAGCAAGTATAACATATATTGTGTTAAATTTGATTTTATCTGCACTACTTGTATATGTAGAGCATTAATAAAGTATTTTTGTTACAAGTAATCAAAACAATTTCAATCTAACCAGAATACCAATTTGTTAGTGCATTCATTACTGTTTTTGCATGTGTGTTACCAGTAAGTGACACTTAAATGTCACCAGAAAAGAAATGAAAAAAAGATAGAAACTGTTATATTTATAGTCATTTACAATGCTCGTGTACACAAGTCAAACACATCTTTTTATCATGTAATGATAATATGTATTGAAGGACGAACTTAAACATTATGCTGCTCACAGAACATTCAGCTTGAAATACGTATTGTAAGATCCTTTTTTTGCTGCTTAAAAGTTTGTCTGTTTTTGTCAACTTATTACAGATATATTTGCTCATTGCTCTTGTTGTTGTGGTTCATAGTAAACGACTTCCGGTGCCTTCATTCGGAAATGTTTGAACTCTTTGTAAAACGTGGCAAAATATATCACGGTGATAAATGCGACCAACCATTCTGATATCGTCGCCACCAGATGTTCTGCATAACCCTGGAAAGAGTTTTCGAAGTTTCAACATATAAAATATTGACAAATTATCCAAATTTTATTTTTCTGCTCCAAAAGGAAAAGAAAACGTATCTAAAAAGTATTGGTAATTCAATGTAACATCTTTAACTAAATTTTTATATCACTTATAATGATACATGTATATTCTTATCGTAGTGTATGTTGAATCAAAATATATATTATATTAACTTAGCACAGGAATGTATTTTTGTTGTTTACATTTTTAATGTTAGGTATTTCACATTTTTATTCGTGCTGTCAAAATAGGAAATGAACTTCAAAGATTGTCAACAGATAGTCAAAGTATTCCGTTTTTTTACAGTACAATTTGCATTGTTCTGTACATATACAATGCAACATCACTGGCATAAGCAAAGCTTTATATTCAAAAAGCTTCTATAAGTTACGAATTATATACATTATCCTTTTTGGCATAAAATAATTGCAGACTAAAAATGTTTATTCGGAATGATTTCTATCTATTTTTATTCACATTTAGACATCGAAAACAATCTAGAACATGGCTCGCGTGATAGTACACTGGTAAAGGACGCAACTAGGAAAGACAAACATGTAATCGTAAGTTACCTGTGTAAATTTGTACTGATTGTTTTCATAATTAATCATATCATAAGCATATTCAATGAATAGGTTAACGCACTACCTTTTTGTCTTTTTTCCCCAACTAATATTGGTATAAGATAATACATACCGGGTGATCTGACGTCCATTCATATATTTCTATACCTGGTCCAGGGCGTTTCTCTCCTGCTACAAGAGTCATAACGGATACTGCAGGCATCAGTGAAGGAAATATAGACAGAACGGGAGAATTACAAACATACATGTGCGACTTAGATACTTATAGCATTCAAAATGAGATGATAGGAAAATAGGATACACGGAAAAAGAAAGATTTGGTGCATCTGGCATTTATTTCCACAAAACTAGCATTACTGTAGCCTAATTAACCTAAAAATGCTTGCCTAAACAAGTCTACTTATACAATGAGGGACAGTAGTGAATAACCTCCCCTGAGTACTCCCTATAAATAGATAGGTCCTAAGCTATTGGATTACTCAGACTTTATCGCCTATTTCTTTGTAGCAAACTGAAGTAATTAGGGCTAATTATGATCATTTGTAATATTCAGATTAGATATTGTGATAAGATGTAGAATCTGTTGACATAAATTAACATTTTTTCCTGAAGGTTTACATATTTGTTGATGCATGTGTAAATAATTGATTAAGACATATCAACCTGTCTTATATAAAACTCAACGATAAAAGCAAAGGATTCCAAATATTTGGACCTACTTACATTTTGGTTAACCTCGATTTTTATTAAGGGAAGATAATCCACTACTGTCCCCCATTATGATGCTCTTACAACATAAAACATTTAAAAAATGTATCTACCATCAATAGTCGAATTAATGCAATACAATGTATTATGAAAAGATTATGATTATACATTAACATTTTATTTGAAGTTTAATAGGACTTCAAGACATTTGTACTGTAGTAAAGATGTTATAAATATTGTTTTCTATTTGGTAACTTTCATCGCGATTATTGGCCGTGTCTCTAGATTATAGTTTGAAGACTACCATAAATAAGCCTGAGTATCAATATTTATAAATCGTCATATTTTATTACCATAACATTTTATGACTATTAAACATAACTATAAATTTTCCAAATCTTATAAAATGCATATTATAAGTGTAGACAAAGGAAAATAAGTTTGTTTAACTAGAAAATATTTTTTTTAATAAATGGCATATAGTAACGTGCAATAACGAGAATGCTAGCATACTACTGGGGGGAAATGTATATGTATATATATACATAATACATGTATATAATATGTACCTTTCTATACATGCAATTAGGTCTGTTCTGTGTTTATGTATAAATTAACCCTCAAATCACCATAGATTCAGAATTGTTGGTATTGAACTTTTTAACATGTACATGTATATAAAGATACAGTGTTTATATTGATACCCACACCTGAAAAGAAAAACTTACAGGTTCGTCGGAGGACCAGTGTTGTTTAGATTTACCTGGCGCGGGACCCTTGGGCCGTGCAACTCGCGCCGCTATCTCCACTGGCTCGAGTTAAGGTTATTGTAGTACCTAAGGACATGTGAGTGTATCATTGGCAAAGACAAATTCAGCAAACATGGCATGGAGCTTAAGCTATACAATCCACTAAAAGTTTTCCATTGAAATGTTTTTGTTTTTTCCTAGAAATGCCACATATCGGTGATTTTCAATAAGTAGGTCCACACCATGTCACACTGATTTATATATAAGCTGCTTACTAAACAGCGAAAAAATTTGTCCCTGCAGCAAGTTGTATTACCATATTATTCACTGTTAAAAATTAGGCTCTTCCATTATCCACTGGAGAGTTCAAATTTGCGAAACCTTTATCGAATTTTAAACCTTCGTTATTTTCGCCTGCACTGAATTTTATTTTGGACATCAATTCTTTCGAAAAGAAGCTTACCAAAATATGCTTTTTTTGTTACTTAAACAGCCTAAATGCTTAATTTTAATTATACACAGGGAATAACAATGATCAGTACACGTTTTAGTCAGAAAATTTTAGGTGTTTAATGTGTCGCTGAAATTATCTAATTAAAAAAACCTTCGTTGTTGCCAATTTATATAGTCTTTCAAATTATAAATATTTTGATTATCGAGGATCACAACATAGTAATAAAGCTATTAGAGACTAGTGTACACGACAGGACCACAAGCAGATATGTTTTGCACTTAAATGGCAAACACTGGTCATCATAAATAATTAGCATTTTTTCAAAAGTAATAACGTAAAACTTTCGTGATCTTTAAAAATACTAATGTTTCCTAAAGATATATCCTGACACCCTCTTATATCAACCAATATGCCACCTTGGTGTAGTAAGATCGAAGACAATGTTTAAAACATTGTTATACATTAAACTAATCAGGATCATAAATTGAGTTTAAACCTTCGTAATTTAAACTTTCGTTATCATAATTCAAATTTGCCGCGGAATTTGCATAAAATTACTGTGACATCACTTCCAGTGACGTCATATCGGAGTGTCTACTTACCGGTAACTGAAATCACTGAAAAACACCGAAAATATTACTGGAATTTCCTTCTAGAATTGTAAGTATTTTTACCTTAGTTTTCAAAAGAATTATTTTGTGAAATGGTCGTTTTGAAATATATTTAATTTTGTAATTATTAGCGCAATATCATGATTGTTTAGTTTATAAATGAAGATGATGATGATTTGTCTCCCTTTGGTATAAAACTCGTGTTGAAATCTATCAAACCTTCGTTATCGCATGATAACGAAGGTTTTATTTTATTTCTTGTGATAAAAAATCAAGTTATACTTTGTGTATATACATTAAACATAAGTTTCTGAAACATTTATAATAGACATATCAAAAGGACATTATAAAAGCCTTTTAAATTGCTCTGCAATATATTTTAGAATAAAACATTATAGAATATGTTTAGAATCTAGGTATTCATGTTGCTCAAGTGATAATTTTATTAGTTTCAATCATATCCGTTTACTTTATTTACACTCAGTACAAAAAGAAACGCAACTTTTTCATTTTTCATTTTTTTAGGTTTATACTAAATTTGGTCAAACAATTTTCCCTTTAATATTCTCAATGACATTTTATTGTTAACTTGAGTACAAAACGGCATTATTTTTAACCTCCCTCAATTCAGTTTAACGGCAAACTGTACAAACCACATTTCCACGTGCACAACGTGCTCTATAGTTTACCGATAGTTTCTATACATGTAGCCGTGTAGTGGTGAATCGGTACACATGAAAAACAAGTTTATTTGAACTGTCAGTACTTTATAACCATGCCGCGCCTTGCTGAACATTTGCGGAAACAAGCAATTTGTTTACTTGAAGCTAGTGTTTCGAAGATTGACGTTGCACGGCGATTTAATTGTCATGTTGGCACTATCACTCGTCTACAGAATAGGTACAATGCCTCTGGCAGTGTCAAAGACTTACCAAAATCCGGTCGACCACGAATAACCACTAGGAGACAGGATGTGAATATTCGAGTGGGGCACCTACGTAATCGATTCGAAGCGGCGTCCTCTACAGCTAGACGAACAATAGGCACTCACGGGTAGGTGAAAATATTGCTATCTTTCCGAAATTCTTCCTCTTATCAAATTTTGAGCTGTTCACATTTTGATGAGGTTTGCCCTTTTTGAGACGTTGCGTTACTTTTCAGGCGCAGTATACACGCAAACACAGTTCGAAATCGGCTTAAGGAAGTTGGTTTGAGGTGTAGGAGACCCCTCAAGGCATCACGCCTCACTGCACGTCACAAACGGGATCGACTACGGTGGGCTAGAGTGCACATAAAAATGATCCGTAGATTCTGGAGCAGGGTACTTTTCTCTGACGAAACTAAAATAGTGCTGAGCAGAGCCGATGGTCGTGCACGTGTTTGGAGGCGCAGGAACGAGCGTTATGCCGAAGCCTGTATTCAGACTTTTAATCGTTGGGGTGGTGGCTCCATTCACATATGGGCAGGGATGTCACAGTTTGGAAGAACAGATCTTGTAGTGTTCGACCGTAATGTCAATGCTCAGACCTATGTCAATGATGTTCTAGCACCTGTTGTCGTATCGTACATGAACCGTCATTTTCAGGGACATGGGACACTTCAACAGGATAACGCTCGCCCGCACACAGCACGTTTGACTCAAAACTTTCTTGCTCGGAACCACATCAATGTGCTAGACTGGCCTGCAATGTCGCCAGATATGGCGCCTATTGAACACTTATGGGATGAGCTAAAACGTCGCATTTATGAGCATCAGCCACAGCCCCAGACGGTGCAGGAACTTCGTCTTGTCGCAGTGCAGGAGTGGAATAACATTCCCCAGGCATCCATTGCTATGTTAGTGACCTCTATGCGTCGCCGCTGCCAGGCGCTTATCAATGCTAGGGATGGACACACAAGGTATTGAAACTGAAATTTTCGTGATCGATAGCGCTGTGTTTAAACTGCTGGAACTTTCGTAATTTTGCAGGTATCAATGAAATTGTTGTGTTATTGAATAAAGCATGAATGAAATATTGAAAAGGTATTGAAGTTTTTTCTGCACAACATCCACTATGGGAGATGACCAGGTATATATACAGTTTGCGTTTCTTTTTGTACTGAGTGTACAATTTCCGATGTTATTGCAAAGAATTATATTGTAAGTGATGTTTTGTTGTGCATAAATATAGCCTTAGTGTCCCTTAAGTTATCATATTAATCTTATGATAACGAAGGTTTCACGAACATAACGAAGGTTTTAATTTCTTTGCAGGTAAATATCTTAATATGGGAAAGAGTAAAGCAGAAATCCAAAGGGCCTATCGACAGCGCCTTAAAGAGAAAAACAATGAACGTGAGAGAATGCGCCGTAACTATGTACCTTCATCTGAGCTCTCAGACAGAGACAAGAAAAGAAGAAACGAGCAAAATAGAGCTAAATTAAGAAGGTTTTACCAACGCAAGCGTGAAGAGCGACAACGGCAGGTTGAACCACAAGAACAAGACACAAGTGGGTATGATAGTGCTCCAAATGACAGTTCAGAAAGAAGTCGTCTAAGATTACGAATCCCATTTCAAAACAACAGGAGAAAGGGTGCACTTATTAGGTGGAAACGAGAATTGTCAGAGGCCACCTCACGCATTAGACTTCTTGAACAAGAAAGATCCAAGCTTCTGAAAAGATACAAATCTACTCAAAGATCATTGCAGCGGATGAAGAATAAAAGTAAAAAATCAACATCTAAGTCAAGAATTAACTCCACGAAAGCAGACAGAACAAGAAATGCAGATGGCAAACTTATCTTACAGTCAGAAGCAAAAAATTAGAAAGTCACTGTTGCTAGGAAATGTCATTGTCAGCGAGTTCAAACGTACAAAAGAACAAACGCCGAAAGGAACTATGAAAGCTGTACAAAGAGTCATCTCCGGAGAGATAGCCAAGAAATATAAATGCATCAAATTACTGTCATTAAAAACTGGCCTCTGTCGACATAGACTTGGAAAAAAGCGAAAGTAAGCTCCACCAAGTAGCAAGTTCATCGAGAAAGAGCACACTCGGGAGATATCAGGAGAGAGTAATAGAGTTTTTTTAAAAGAGAAGACAATAGTAAGCTTCAACCGGGAAAGAAAGATGTGAAGAAAAGTGAAAGTGGTGAAAAGAAACAATTATATATTCTTTCTGATTACCTATCAAATTTGTACAAAAAGTTTCAATCAGAAAATCCTGATGTTGATATATCTTTCACTTCATTTAGTCGATGCAGACCCAATTATATTTTGTTAACCTCATTTTCAAGCCGCAGTTCATGCTTATGTACGAAACACCAGAATGCTGCTTTGTCGGTAAAGCTGCTAAGAAAGGAGGGTATAGATGTATCAGCAAACCCAGAAAGAGCAATTGAAAACTTTCCAACTAAAGATGACCTTGAGAAATCGCTGCCTGCGTCAATTGTATGGAGTCAGTGGAACATAATTGAAATAGAAGAGAAAGGCAAGAAAAAGATGGTAACCAGAGTAACCGAATCAAAAGTCAACAGAGAGCAATTTTTGGTCAAACTAGAACAACAAATGAAAGATTTCGAATCTCACGTGAAAAAGGTTGAAGAGATAAAGAGGCTTAAGCAGAATTTGCCAAAACACGAGATGCTGTTGCAGCTGGACTTCGCAGAAAATTATAGTTGTAGATCTCTAGAAGAAGTCCAGAGTGCATACTTCAATCAAACAAGTGTTACCCTCCACCCAGTTGTTGCATATTTTCGAGGCCAAGATGATACACTTCAACATCAAAGCATAATTATCGTGTCCGATGAGATGGGACACAAAGCGTCAACTGTAATAGCTTTTATCGATGAGTTGCAACCCATTCTTAAAGGTACTCCACTGAGGTACGGCCGAATGTCACAAAAAAAAGTAAAATTTCACAAACCGATAATTTTTTGTTACCTGCGTGTTAGGGACATTGAAACAGAATCAGTGATACATTGATATGTGTTCTTTGGATTGGCAAATCGTTTGAAATACACATTTTCTCCAATTTTGTGGGAAAAGCGTTTAAACACCTTTCAGTTTGCAAATCTGAATAAAAACAACGGTCACGTGATGATTCTCGGGATGACTAAAAAAGCGAAGCGGAGAATTTTTTGTGTATGGACAGCAACGAAAGTGCGAAAGTGGAATATACCAACAATCCATAAATTTAAAAAGCAAATTATGGGTTTGTTTGTTAAATTTCTTGTTGTTCACATATGTTCTTGTGAGAAAAATCTTTCAAAAGCAATTTCAATATATTTAAAGCATTGCATTGTTGTAATCATTT